CAGGAGCGGGAGAGCAGAGTGTGGGGATAGTCCTAGCCAGACCGTCAGCTGGAGAGGCACAAAGATAGTAAAACAGTAAAAGTCCATAAGGTCAATTGCATCTTGCAAGACAAGTTAGACACATCAGGTCACATTCAACCCTGCTGAAGAAAATGAGATGTAATTGAGGGCCAAATTTGGCTTACAGTCTAATGGACAAAAAATATATATAGAAACTACACTGTGCTATTCTTATGAAAATAATTGCAGAGGTTCTTACCTGCTTATTTCAGCTTCTATATCTAAACCTGGAATTGCTGGACAAGTAGAGCTACTATTCATCACAGCTGAAAGATTAACTGTAACATAGAAAAATATTCAGTTTTATTAGAACAGGCATAAAAGAAAGCACGGTGGTTTTAGGCCATAATCTTATAGGTGTTTTGTAGGACACTACACTCCCTGCAACAGCTCTGTAGATTTGTAATTTTCATCCATCATCCTTCCAGTGGAGGATCAAACAGGGCAAACTTCTGAGTCAGCTCAGAGGGTTACTGTAGAGTGATGTCATGGATTTAGCTCACTACATCACTGGGCATTGGTCAGATCATAGCTTTATCTGATCTGACCTTCGGATTCCAACAAAGGGCAATATCTGATTTTTCAGAAGTTGATAACTCCCCCTTCTACCTCAAATAAGGCAAAAATCATCCAGGCCAACACCATAACTCTGACTTTTATGCACCACTGAGGTTCCACCCAAGCCTCAAAACTGGGCCCAAATGTGGTCCAAGTGGTGGCTCAGCCTTTTGCTGACTGTCCGCAAAAAGGAAAATTTCACTAATAATGCACCAAACCAATAGTGCAAAACTGTTCAGACCAGGGAGAAATAGGAGACCCCTTCCAGGTGTCAGCACATATATTTTAGGGTAAGTTATGATTGCCCTTTTCATAAGCTTAGCTCATATCGAGGCAAAATAGTATTAATGGTCATATTTTGTTCTTTTAAAAATCTAATCACAGAACTTGATTTGGTGACTTCCTGGGACAGTGAATTCCATGGATTAACTATAAGCTATAGAAAGTAGTAAGTCATTTTATAGTAACCAAATGTACTGCTCTGTAATTTATCAAGTGTCTAGTTTGCTACTGTACTATACAGCAGGGTAAAAAGGAAGGACTCCTCAGAATTCACTATGTTCTTCATGGCTTTTAACGCCACAGCAGCACTCCATCCTGAACCTCTGCCAATCCAGTAAATAAGAGACCCTAACAAATATTTTCAGAAGTTGAATAAACTTTATTTACCTGAAGACATATTTACTGCTTGGCCAATCGTCACAAATCTGTTTGTCATCTCTCCAATGACAACGATAATAAGTAGCAGTCCTGTTCCATTTGCAACAGCTGCAATCAAGCCTATTATCATCAAAATGATATCCAGCCAATCGGCATACCCAAACTACATGAATATCAAGAAAAAGGTATTAATTGAAGGTTGACAAATTCACATAATTGTCACAATATCCTACTAAGACACATAGAATTGGATTTGTTTTTACATAGCACCATTCGCCATTTGGGTATCCCAAAACACTTTATGAAGCAATGAATTAGATACTGTGAAGGCAAACATAGCATTTGGGATAAACTTTGAAAAAGCTTACACACAGTTTTAGGCCGGTTTTTATTGAGGGATTTAGGACATGTTGGCAGGATGGCAGGATGAATCCCCCAATCTGCAGAAAAAAGAATATATCTTACATTTTTCACAAAGTGATAACATCACCTGTGCAACTCACTGCCTCTCTGTGTGCATTCTACTACATCCCATATTTACTCAGTGCATTTAAAATGTAAACAAGAACAGGTAGTTGACAAATATTTGGCTGCTGCCTACCAATAGAAACAGATATGTAGCAGTTATCACATTTAAGAAAAACACAGCACTTGTTTCCCTGGATAATTCATGAGACATTATGCACTAATGGTAACATCTGCCCCAGTCATGCCTGCAGCCTCTTTCACAAACTTGCAGC